AATTTTCGGATGAGTATGGGTTTAAAATAACAACAAGTAGTCCACATTATCCTAGAAGTAATGGATTTGCAGAAAGTGGGGTAAAAATAGCCAAGTCACTTTTAAAAAAGAGCTGTGAGTTAACAACAGGTTTAATGTCTTACAGATCGACAAAAATTGTTGGTGTAGGTCTATCTCCTGCAGAATTAGTTTTTAATCGAAACATCAAAACCAAACTGCCAGTTCCTCAACGTACTTTAGAATTTAACACAGTTGATCCAAACAATGTAATCAAGAAATTACACACCAAACAACAACAGACAAAATACTACTATGACAAGACTACAAAAGCTAAACCTAATTTTGTGAACAATCAAAATGTTACCTTACAAAAGGGAGGTAAATGGGAGTCGGCAAAAATTGTAAATAAATGTAATGAACCTAGGTCATATATTGTAAAAGATAGGAAAGGCCAATTGTTGAGAAGAAATAGTATACATTTAAGGGATTCTCTTAACGAATACGTTCCTATTATTAACTGTGACGACAATGATGATGACAAATTTATAGATGTATCAAAGCAAAGTGTTAGTCAGAGACAACGAAGAACACCCTCGCGATTTAAAGACTATATTTTGTACTAATTGTTAAGTATTAGAATTAAGAAGGGGGGTGTTATAGAAGTAGGCTTGGAGAATGTTGTTAGATACGTAAGAGATTAGAATAAACAAATAATTGTAGAAGCTGGTTTTATTAATATTCTAAAACCAATATAAAACAGTCACTAAACACAGGCACTATAAGTTGACAGAAACAACTAAAAAACGCTGCTTTATGCAAAACATTTTTTGACAAGTGACGGGAAATTAAAGGTTAAAAATAAATGCGAGACGAGGCGAAACCGAGAGCTGCAATAATATTAATATTAATTTCTAGTTATCTCTTTCGATATTTTAAACATTCACACATTTTTTGACAAATCTAAATTAGCATTCAGCAACGAATAGAAATTTTTTTTAGAGACTGTGAAATTCAATTTTTCGTCTGAAAAAAAAAAACTTAAGAATCAGTCTGCAAAAACATACAAAAAGTGGAAGACCCATTTCTCCATACTATAGGGGACATGAAAGGTCGAGAAAATGTAAAACTACAAAGTCATAATATTTAATAATACGAACATATTGCTGCGCGACACAAAACTAGCTATATTTTTGGAATCAGAACGTCAAGATCTATAACCCTAAATATTTTCAGAATTTTTGGACAACTTTTCCAAAAATGAAATTTTCCACTACTTATCTTTTGGTTTTCTTTTTTACTTAATACATATAATTTGCTTCGAACAACACTCCAGAAAACTGGTAGCAATTTCTCGTAGAAAAACAAGGATTTTGCAATTAAGCTCCGCCCCACGACTTACGACGAGTAAAAAAAATCATTACGATTGAGATAGGGCGGGTGGGCGGGGCTTATATTGTGCCTTGTTTTTCTTAGTATACGTAGTCATCTGTTTTAAACTTTTGTTGCGACAAGATGACTACGTAGGTATATTAAGAAAATAAAGGCAAAATATAAGCCCCACCCCCCACCCTGTCTCAATTGTGATGATTTTTTTATTCATCGTGAGCCAAGAGGGCGGAGCTTAATTGCAAAATTATTATTTCTCAACAAGAAATTACTACAAAAGACATGTTTTTGAGCATCGTGTTGTTCAAAAAATCCTATGTGTATTAAAACTTAAAGCCAGATTGAGACCAAGGTGGATGGGTGGGGCTTAACTTTTGGCTTTCTTTTTTAGTTAATACATATAGCTTGCTTTAAACAACACGACTACTAAAGAACGCGATTCAGATAGCAATTTCTAATAGGGAAACAAGAATTTTGCAATTAAGCTCCGCCCCACGACTTACGACGGGTAAAAAAAATCAGCAGAATTGAGACAGGGCGGGTGGGCGGGGCATACATGTTTCCTTGTTTTTCTGGATATACGTAGTCATCTGTTTTAAACTTTTGTTGCGAAAAGATGACTACGTATATTAAGAAAGAAAAGGCAAAATCTAAGCCCCACCCACCCGCCCCGTCTCGATTGTGATGATTTTTTTTATTCGTCGTGAGCCACGAGGGCGGAGCTTAATTGCAAAATTCTTATTTCTGAACAAGAAATTACTACGAAAGACATGTTTTTGAGCATCGTATTGTTCAAAAAATTCTATGTGTATTAAAACTTAAAACCAGATTGAGACCAAAGTGGATGGGTGGGGCTTATCTTTTGGCTTTCTTTTTTGCTTAATACAAATAGTTTGTATTAAAACTTAAACGACACGACTACTAAAGAACGTGATTCACATAGCAATTTCTAGTAGGGAAACAAGAATTTTGCAATTAAGCTTCGCCACACGTTTTACGACGGGTAAAAAAAATCATCAGAATTGAGACAGGGCGGGTGGGCGGGGCATATATTGTTCCTTATTTTTCGGAATATACGTAGTCATCTGTTTTAAACTTTTGTTGCGAAAAGATGACTACGTATATGTATTAAGAAAGAAAAGGCAAAATCTAAGCCCCACCCACCCGCCCTGTCTCAATTGTGATGTTTTTTTTTTTATTCGTCGTGAGCCAAGAGGGCGGAGCTTAATTACAAAATTCTTATTTTTCAACAAGAAATTACTACAAAAGACATGTTTTTGAGCATCGTGTTGTTCAAAAAATTCTATGTGTATTAAAACTTAAAACCAGATTGAGACCAAAGTGGATGGGTGGGGCTTATCTTTTGGCTTTCTTTTTTGCTTAATACATATAGTTTGTATTAAAACTTAAAGGACACGACTACTAAAGAACGTGATTCACATAGCAATTTCTAGTAGGGAAACAAGAATTTTGCAATTAAGCTCCGCCCCACGACTTACGACAGGTAAAAAAAGTCACCAGAATTGAGACTGGGCGGGTGGGCGGGGCATATATTGTTCCTTGTTTTTCTGAATATACGTAGTCATCTATTTTAAACTTTTGTTGCGAAAAGATGACTACGTATATTAAGAAAGAAAAGGCAAAATCTAAGTTCCACCCACCCGCCCCGTCTCGATTGTGATGATTTTTTTTATTCGTCGTGAGCCACGAGGGTGAAGCTTAATTGCAAAATTCTTATTTCTCAACAAGAAATTACTACGAAAGACATGTTTTTGAGCATCGTGTTGTCCAAAAAATTCTATGTGTATTAAAACTTAAAACCAGATTGAGACCAAAGTGGATGGGTGGGGCTTATCTTTTCGCTTTCTTTTTTGCTTAATATATATAGTTTGTATTAAAACTTAAAGGACACGACTACTAAAGAACGTGATTCACATAGCAATTTCTAGTAGGGAAACAAGAATTTTGCAATTAAGCTCCGCCCCACGACTTACGACGGGTAAAAAAAATCACCAGAATAGAGACTGGGCGGGTGGGCGGGGCATATATTGTTCCTTGTTTTTCTGAATATACGTAGTCATCTATTTTAAACTTTTGTTACGAAAAGATGACTACGTATATTAAGAAAGAAAAGGCAAAATCTAAGCCCCACCCACCCGCCCTGTCTCGATTGTGATGATTTTTTTATTCGTCGTGAGCCAAGAGGGCGGAGCTTAATTGCAAAATTCTTATTTCTCAACAAGAAAAAGACATGTTTTTGAGCATCGTGTTGTTGAAAAATAATATGTGCATTAAAAATTAAACCCAGATTGAGACCGAGCCGGATGGGTGGGGCTTTCTTTTATACTTAATACATATAGTTAGCTTTAAACAACACGACTACTAAAGAACGTGATTCACATAGCAATTTCTAGTAGGGAAACAAGAATTTTGCAATTAAGCTCCGCCCCACGACTTACGACGGGTCAAAAAAAAATGGTCAGAATTGAGATAGGGTGGGCGGGCGGGGCTTATATTTTGCCCCTTTTTTCTTAATATAGGTAGTTATTTGTTTTAAATCTTTGTTGTGAAAAGATTACTACCTATTTTAAGAAAAAAAAGTCAAAATAAATATTATTTCTGTACGAGAAATTAAAAACATGTTTTTGAGTATCGTGTTGTTCAAAGAATACCATGTATATTAAGAAAAAAAAGGCAAAATATAAAACCCGCCTACCCCCCCTATCTCAAGTGTGATGATTTTTTTTAATCGTCGAGAACCAAAAGAGGGGAATTTAACTGCAAAATCCTTATTATTTCTCTACAAGAAATTACCATCTAAGATTTGTTTTTTGAGTATCATGTTATTCAAAAAATACTACGTATATTAAGAAAAAATTAAAGCCAAAGATTAAGCCCCACCTATACCTGGCCTGATGTAAATAAAAAAATCATCAGAATTGAGATGGGATGGGTGGGCGGGGTCTATATTTTACTTTTTTCTTAATATACATAATGTTCTTTGAACAACACGATACTCAAAAACACGTTTTTAATTTCTCGTATAGAAAAAAGGAGTTTGCAGTTAAGCTCCGCCCCCTTGACTCACGACGAATAAAAAAATCATCACAATTGAGACAGGGTGGGTGGGCGGGGCTTCATTTTGCCTTTTTTTTCTTAACATGTGAAGACTTATTTCGACAAAAAAGAACTTCAAACATGTCTAAAATGTTATAATAAATATTAATTTTTCAGTCTCGTTCGCCCATTTTTTTACGACAGTAATTCGCCAAGACATAAAAATTTAGAAACAAAAACGACCCATTTATCTGCGGATGTACGCGATAGCCTTGACCTCGCCACAAAAGCCCCAACTAAAACTCTGCCAAAACACTCGCATAAAACACAACCCCCATTCAGCATTCCCCTTGACATTCATGAAATTCTTAACATCAATCACCCTCGTCCGAAACCACCGCGAATGCACGCCGACTAAATTTTTAACCGATATCACGCAACGCAAACCCCATTTCACCCTTCTTTCGTTTACATTTTCTCAAAGCTGACAAGACACGACGAACACCCGTCGGAAAATAAAAAAATGAGGTAATAATTGAAAATTGTTTTTGTTTCAGTTTCAAGATGACTTCTCCGGCGATCAACGGCCAGAAGGAGAACTCCAAGACCGACTCCAACGTGACCCTCGCCCAGCAGCCCCCCCAGCAGCCCTCCGAGCCCACGAACTCGACGTCCATTTTCGTGGCATGGTGGCGGGTCTTCAAGCTCGCTAATCTCCTGATAAAGCAGAGCTGTTAGGCGAATTTAGTGCACGTGATATCACGAGACAGACAAGGGCCGTATGCACGAAAATGCCGCAATGTACCGTCGAATAAAAAAGAAACGTCCGTTTAAATACGTACAAATGAAATTAAAAAAAAATATAATGAAAATTTTCGTACAAATGGCCGTGCGTTAGTAGGATTAATAAGTAGACTAATTCCTGTATTAACTTAGTGGTGATTACTTTTCAATTACTCGTAGGGTGATAAGTGATGATAATGGAGAGAGTCGGTCGTCGATGGCGCCATGTTGATGACGTTCTTCCAGATTATTATTGTTTTAACTTATTAACTACCGATTTTGCTTCGCAATTGTCGAACACCGTTTGGATGTTGTTATTTGGGGGCGGCAGTCCCTCGGGACGCCGCCACAACAATGTAAAACCGTTATGTATTTTTCACATGTGTTGCGTTATCAGGCAGATGCGTTACATAATTATAACCATAACCCGTATGTGATATAATACAATTATCATAACTTTATATCGTATTTTTGGTAACAGAATGAGTGGTTTCACGTTTATTTCGAGTTAATAAATGTTATTCACTGTTGCCGAGTGTTTTATTGACGACTCAGTCGTGCGCTTGTTTTGGTGTTTTTCCAAAACGAAAAATAGAACGACATAATTGTTGTAGTTGCGTGTGTCTCCGTTTCCTCTTGATCCGACACCCACCAGAAAATGTTCGTACATACTTCTATTTATAATTAGTTACACGTTTTCGGATACGATGTTCTATATTAAATCTTTTATCGATGCGAGGAGTCTTTGTAGTGTTGTTGGTTTTATTGTGTGCGACTACGAGTGTTATCTCATTTGTTTTTATGGCACGGTTACGACACGAGTAACAAGTTCATCGCGCTATTTTTATCATTTTCGCCCTCGGATTCGCCACTTTTTCCATTTCCTTTTTGACGGCGGGCGGAAGCCGCCTAGACTTTTTCGGCGCATAATTTTATTGGCCTGCGTTGTTTTTTAACAATCGTTGGGACGATAACCCAATCACAAAAAGACTTAATTGTATCCGGGCCAAATACGATTAAAATAACAAGATCGTCTCCCACATCTAACTTCAAAAAAAAAACGCCGCTGTTTGCCATTTTGACATGTTTACGATAAGGTTTTTTTTTTCAATTATTTTCCTGCGGAATTTCAAATTAAATTAAATAAAAATAAGGGCAGATTAATAAACTACAAATACAGGAGCTTGTTAATTTAAGCTTTAAATCCGATTTGCGTAGTAAAGTGTGGGATGAACAAAAAAATTTTGGATGACGATTAACGACCAGTAGTTTCGGAGATTACATACGTGTCTTAATGTAATCGTCAGCAGACAAACAACAGACATACGGACGGAAACAGGAGATCCATATTTTCGTATTGTAAAAATTGCGATATTTCAATGCACTGAATTAATTAACTAATTCTGGAAAAAAAGTTGAAGTTATCGAAGAAATGAGGCCCGAAATCTACAAGAAAAAGTATTTAGTTAAATTTCGAAAATCGTCGAAAATGGGTCGAAATTTGCATGAGGAAAATTTCATTTTTGAAAAAGTTTCTAAAAAATTCTGAAAAAATTCAGGGGTATATCCCGATGTGTTGATTCCAAAAATATAGCATGTTTATGGTCACGGAGTAAAATTTTTTTGGAATGTATTTATTATCCATTGTTGCTTAAGAATTCTTTAATTTTGTTTAATAAAATTAAGGTTTATTTCTTGAAGTTTGTTTTCAACTGTATATGAAGTTGTTATTCAATTCTATTTCAGTTTTTTGGGAAAATTGCTGATCCGAACAACTCGTTAATCCGAATACACCTTTTTCCCAATTAATTCGGATTATCGAGGTTCTACTGTACACTAAATGTTACCCATGTTATGTGAAAAAAGTATACTATCTAAAATTTTATATTTTTTTTTGTTTAGAACGAATTTCTGGGAGATAAATAAAATCGCACAAAAATTGCCCCCCCCCCCCCCCCCCAAACAAAATCCTGTATCCGCGCCTGCATGAATAGCGCATTCTTTGGAAGTAAAAACTAATTATTTATTTGAAGATTTTTCGTCGAAACATGTACAAATCCGAAATCTGAAAAAGTCATCGTTGGCACCCCACCCATTCCTGCCCTGATCTAAATTTATCATTTTAAACGTGTTTTAAGTTTCTAAGAATATAAAAAAATCATCACAATTGAGATGGGGTGGGTGGGCGGGGTTTATATTTTGCTTTTTTTCTCTTAATATACATAGTATTCTTTGAACAACCCGATACCCAAAAACATGTTTTTAATTTCTTGCAAAGAAATAATTATTTTGCAGATAAACTCCGCCCTCTTGCTTCAAGACGAATAAAAAAATAATCACAATTGAGATAGGGCGGGTGGGCGGGCTTATATTTTGCCTTTTTGTTTTAATATGTGTAGATTTCTTTTTACAACATGAAACTTAAAATGGAAAATTTGTATTAGAAAATATCGATTTTGCAATTAGGCTCCGCCCCATAATTGCGAAATCCATAGATTCTTGCAGAAATGTACCATTTTAAACATGTTTTAAATTTCTTATTTTGAAAGGATGACTACAGATATTAAGAAAAACGGCAAAATATTAGCCCCGCCCACCCGCCCTATCTCAAGTGTGATGATTTTTTTTAATCGTCGAGAGCCAAAGGAGCGAAATTTAATTGCAAAATCCTTATTATTTCTCTTCAAGAAATTACCATTTAAGATATGTTTTTGAGCATCATGGTATTCAAAGAACACTATGTATTCTGAATATTAAGAAAAAATTAAAGCCAAAGATTAAGCCCCTCCCGTACCTGCCCTGATGTAAATAGTAATGAAGGTTTCATTCGTTGGTAGACCTAGGGGCGGAGCCTATTTGCAAAATCCATATCTCCTTACAAAAATTTACCATTTTAAACGTGTTTTAAGTTTCTAACAATAAAAAATCATCACAATTGAAATAGGGCGGGTGGGCGGGCTTATATTTTGCCTTTTTGTTTTAATATGTGTAGATTTCTTTTTACAACATGAAACTTAAAATGGAAAATTTGTATTAGAAAATATCGATTTTGCAATTAGGCTCCGCCCCATAATTGCGAAATCCATATTTTCTTGCAGAAATGTACCATTTTAAACATGTTTTAAGTTTGTTATTTTGAAAGGATGGCTACAGATATTAAGAAAAACGGCAAAATATAAGCCCCGCCCACCCGCCCTATCTCAAGTGTGATGATTTTTTTTTATCGTCGAGAGCCAAACGAGCGGAATTTAATTTCAAAATCCTTATTATTTCTCTAAAAGAAATTACGATCTAAGATATGTTTTTGTGCATCATGTTACTCAAAGAATACTATGTATTCCGTATTTAAGAAAAAATTAGAGCCAAAGATTAAGCCCCTCCCACACCTCTCCTGATGTAAATAGTAATGAAGTTTTCATTCGTTGTCAAACGTAGGGGCGGAGCCTATTTACAAAATCCATATTTCCTTACAAAAATTTACAATTTTAATCGTGTTTTAAGTTTCTAACAATAAAAAAATCATCACAATTGAGATGGGGTGGGTGGGCGGGGTTTATATTTTGCTTTTTTTCTCTTAATATACATTGTATTCTTTGAACAACACGATACCCAAAAACATGTTTTTAATTTCTTGTAAAGAAATAATGATTTTGCAGTTAAGCTCCGCCCTCTTGCTTCACGACGAATAAAAAAATCATCACAATTGAGATAGGGCGGGTGGGCGGGCTTATATTTTGCCTTTTTGTTTTAATATGTGTAGATTTCTTTTTACAACATGAAACTTAAAATGGAAAATTTGTATTAGAAAATATCGATTTTGCAATTAGGCTCCGCCCCATAATTGCGAAATCCATAGATTCTTGCAGAAATGTACCATTTTAAACATGTTTTAAATTTCTTATTTTGAAAGGATGACTACAGATATTAAGAAAAACGGCAAAATATAAGCCCCGCCCACCCGCCCTATCTCAAGTGTGATGATTTTTTTTTAATCGTCGAGAGCCAAAGGAGCGGAATTTAATTGCAAAATCCTTATTATTTCTCTAGAAGAAATTACCATCTAAGAGATGTTTTTGCGTATCATGAAGTTTTGATTCGTTGTCAGACGTAGGGGCGGAGCCTATTTACAAAATCCATATTTCCTTACAAAAATATACCATTTTAAACGTGTTTTAAGTTTCTGAGAATAAAAAAAATCATCACAATTGAGATGGGGTGGGTGGGCGGGGTTAATATTTTGCCTTTTTTTCTTAATTTACATATTTTTCTTGAACAACACGATACTCAACACGGTTTTAACCCCTTGTAGAGAAATAAGTAGTTTGCAGTTAAGCTCCGATCCCTTGGCTCACAACGAATAAAAAAATAATCAGAATTGAGATAGGGCAGGTGGGCGGGGCTACATTTTGCCTTGTTTTCTTAATATGTGTAGACTTATTTCGACAACGAGAAATTTAAAACATGTTTAAAATGGTAAATTTGTATAAAGAAATGTCGATTTTGCAATTAGGCTCCGCCCCATAATTGCAAAATCCATATTTGCTTTTAACCATGTTTTAACTTTCTTGTTGTGAAATGATAGCTATGTATATTAAAAAAAAAGCAAGATATACGCCTCAAGCCGAGGGGCGTAGCTTAATTGTAAAATCCTTAATTTTCTACGAGAAATTACTATGTGAAAATAAATAAATGTATTAATAAAAAAAGAAAACCAAAAGAGAAGCTCCACCCATCCGTCTCGATCTCAATCAATCTCAATCGTGATGAATTTTTCATTCGTTGTCAGACCGAGGGGCGGAGCGTAAAATCAAAAAACGAAAGAATCGAAATATTGCAAAATCCCAAAACTTATATCCATAGTTTGAGAATTTGAAAAATGGAAGAAAAATTGAGAAATCGAAAAATTGAAATGTCCAGGAATTGAGAAATGTGAAAATTGAGGAATTAATTAATTAATGGACAAATTGGGAAATCGAAAAATTGAAAATTTATAACCGACAAAAATTGAAAAACTGAAATATCCGAAAATTGGTAAATCGAAAAATGAAGAAATAAAACGCGAAAATTTGAAGAATCGAGAAATTGAAAAATCCGAACAGTGAAATACCGAAAATCTGAGTAATTGAGAAATTGAAACAAAAAAAAAAACTTAAAAATTCCTAAACTGAAATATCAAAAAATTGGGATATCAAAAGTTGAAAAATCAAGAAATTAAAACGCTGAAAAATTGAAAATTCGAAAAAAATTTCATTTTTTTTCCCTAAAAATCTCTATACCTAGGATAAAAATTCATAACGGATTCATAAACCACAATTTCAGGACTACGTTACTTTTTAACATTTAAATAACATGAACGGACAAATTTTGATTAACAAGAGGAACAAGAGTAGACGACAAAAAGGCGTAATAAAAGCGACAAAAATTGACGAAAAAACGGAAGAAAAAAAGCGGACAGGAAAATATAAGAGAAAAATAGAGGGGGGAGGAATAGAAAAACGTAGTGAAGGGAAAGAGAGGGGAAGGAAAAGTTAAAGACAAAAACGGGAACAAAAAAAAAGGGCAGGAGAAAAGTGGAGAATAAAAGCGGGAAAAAAAAGGAAAGAAAAAAAAACAAAAAGAATAGACGAAAAAAAGCGTAATGGAAGCGACAAAAAAAACAGGAGATACATAGTATTCTTTGAACAACGCGATACTTAAAAACGTGTTTTTAATTTCTTGTAAAGAAATAATTATTTTGCAGTTAAGCTCCGCCCTCTTGCTTCACGACGAATAAAAAAATCATCACACTTGAGATAGGGCGGGTGGGCGGGCTTACATTTTTTGCTTTTTGTTTTAATATGTGTAGATTTCTTTTCATAACATGAAACTTAAAATAGTTTAAAATAGAAAATCTCCATCCGATAACTGCAAAATCCATATTTCGTACCAATTTAACCATATTTTAAGTTTCTTGTTGTGAAAAGATGGCTATATATATATTAAGAAAAAAAAAAAAAAAAAAAATGTTGGCCCCGCCCACCCGCCCTGTCTCATTTCTGATGATTTTTTTTTATTCGTGGTAAGAGATGTGTCACGTTTACGATAACTTTAAAGCTTTTGGACAATTTCAGAGCAGTCAAATTTTGTTGTATAATTTTGAGTTCTTTTACAAAAATTTAGATGTCAGAGGTAAAATTATGGTGTTACAAACTGTTTAAATTTCCGTAGCAAAACGAACACTAAAAGGAAATTCAGAAACGGCAAAAAATCTATACTAAAAAAAAAAACGTTTCCAGACTATTTAATCACCGTTGAGGATCCTCAAGAGACCCAGAAAGCTCAAGCAAGATTTGAGGTCTTTGGTGGGGATTATCACATAAATATTAATCAACGATTTGCCATGTTAATTAATTCTCAAATTTTCTGGTAGAATTATGATTTATTTTATATAAAAAAAATAAACCACAAATACAGGGGCATTTTAATTTTAGACCTATTTTCAAATTTGAAATCTAGAAATAAACTTTCTAGAAAGGTCAGAGTTCGCGTTGATCACGACATTTAATATTAAAAATTTTGATATCGTTGTTTAAATTCAGGCAGGTGTTGGGTGTGCTATAGCAACACAACGGTTCATTAAAAAACAATCTTCCTCCCCACGTACTAAAACGATAAAATCCTCACATGTTTTTCATTCTTTATTTATTCGTCGTTACCTTGCAAAACGCTAAAAATAATAGCGCCATTCCAGCTGATTGCGCATTTGTGTAATTAGCACATTTACACCACTTTCGGCAAACAATAACGCTTTATCAGAATCACTTATTCGCAAACTCGATCGACACCATATGCAAAACCAATTAACGCAATCACAAAACTCACCTTAATTTCTCGTCGAAAGGGGCTTCTTTCGCTAAAGGGCTTCTCTCCAACGAGCTAAAGGAACTAGGACGCGACGAATACCCGCTGCTGCTCCTGAAACAAACAACAAACAACCCTGTAATTCATGATTTAATTAAAAATATTATTTTTTTTTAAATTCGATAAGACCAAACGCATACCCTGGCCTGACCAGCGACTCCGCCGAGTTCGAGTGGAAGCTAAACTCCTTCTCGCTGAAAGGGTCCGAAGGGCTCGCCGGCTGCGAACTAACCCTCAAGCTGCCGCTGCTCAGCATCTTCCGGAACCTCAGCCTGAAAGGGCGAAGGACCGGCGACAGCGGCGGCTTCTCGCTGGTTAGTTTCTCGTAAGTCGGACTTTTCGGTTCCATTGTTATCACGAGTGTTATCAAATACAAGACGCACCCACGACTAACTCGATAACACTGTATTATCTGCCAGCACCAATTAATTCCTGTGTACCGTAGGAATTAGCGAGACGGAGCTAAACAACAGATGACGTCCGGGAGCGAAAACGCGTAAATTTCTACTACGAAACGGATGCGAAGAAAAAAATGATATGGGACCGGGAGGGCAGTTCCGGTGTGAGGCAGACCGCGTCCGGTTTCCGGGGAAATTATCTTTCGGGGACCCTACGGGAGATCCGCGGGAGGTGGTTGAAGCGGTGGTGGAGTATTTATTTTAACTGGGTTGTGGTCGTGATAAGTGAGGTGGCGACGCAAGGAAAAAAGGTACGTAGTAACACACAGGTAAGTGAAAACTTAGTCCTGAGGGAGGATTCGATAAAAGTGCCAAAATTCTAATTGGAGCGAAGCGAGCTGTAACCTTTTCTATTGTATTATCATAGATTAATATAGATGCGACATACAGGCTGATGAATATTTTTCGTACATATTTTGTTTAACTAAGAATTAATTCTTTATTTGTGTTTTATACTAGCAAAACGTTTTAAACTAAGAATATTGTTGAAATCGTAATAACCCAATGGATTTTTTTTGGGAAAATGTTTTGGAAACACTGTTCTATTTTGTATGAATTTTTAAATGTTTTTTTTAGTGACAATTTTTGTGGTTATTTTCGATACACTGTATGGTTTTAACAGTGAGAAAAAAAAATGAAAAACTACAATAATCGAAAATTCGAAAAATGGAGAAATGTAATAATCGAAAAATCGAAACCTTAAAAAATCATAAAACTGAAACATTGAAAAATCGAAATATCGAAGAACTAAAAATCGAAAAATGAAACATCAGAAAATCGAAAAAATGTAAAATTCAAAAATCTAAAATTTAAAAACCGAATAACGGAAAATCGAGGAATCGAAACTCCCAAAAAATCGGATAACTGAAAAATCGAAACATCGAAAAACTGGAAAATAAAAAAACCGAGAAATCGAAAAATCAAAAGATCAAGAAATCGAGAAATCAAAAAACTTAAAAATTCGAAAAATTGGAAAAACTGAGAAACCGAAAAATTAACAAATCGAAAAATTGAAAAACAGAACATCTAAATCCAGGAAGTCGAAAAATCGAAAGATTAAGAAATATTGAAAAATTAAAATATCAAAAGATTGAAAACTCTAAAATTTAAAAATCCAAAAACCGAAAAATCCAGAAGTCAAAAATACAAGAGCCGAAGAATTGAAATATTGAAAAATCCTAAAACTGAAATTTTTAGAAACTGAAAAATCGAAAAATCAAAAAAGTGAAGTCGAAAAATAAAAACCTTAAAAAATCGAAAAACTGAAAAATCAAAAACCCGAAAATTCAAAAAATTAAAGAATTGAAGATCAGGAAAATCGAAACACTCGAAGGTCAAGAAATGGGAAAATCAAAACATCGATTAATTGAAAAATTCGAAAACCTGAAAAATTCAAATATCGGAGAACTGAACTGAAAAATGGGAAAATCTAAAATTTTAAAAATTAAATAATCTAAAATTTAAAATCGAAAAATTGAAAAATCTAAAAAGTAAAATAATCGACACATCGAAAAATCCAGGAGTCAAAAATCGACAAGTCCATGAATCGAAATATGTATTGAAAAATGAAAGATAAACTGAGAATCTAATAACCTGAAAAATCCGAAAACTGAAATATCCAAAAACTGAGAACCTAAAAAGTCGAAAAATTGAGCAATCGAAAAATCCAAAAAGTGAAGTCGAAAAATCGAAACCTTAAAAAAACTAAAACATGAAAAATCGAAATATTAAAGAATTGAAGAACAGGAAGGAATATCGAAACCCTCGAAACTCCAGAAATGGGAAAATCAAAACATCGATTAATTGTAAAATCGGAAAATTGACAGTTTATAAATGCCAAATTTGAAAAATTGAAAAATCGAAAATTTGAAAAAACGACAATTGAAAAACAGAAAATCTAAAACAGGGAAGTCGAAAAATCGATAGATTAAGAAATCAAAACATCTGAAAAATTCGAAAACATGGAAAACGGAAATATCGAAGAACTGAAATGAAAAATCGAGAAATCGAGAAATCTAAAATTTTAAATATTGAAAAATTAAAATATCAAACAACTGAAAAATCTAAAATTTAAAAATCGAAAAATTGAAAAAACGACAATTGAAAAACAGAAAATCTAAAACCGGGAAGTCGAAAAATCGAAACATTTGAAAAATTGAAATATGGAAGAGCTGAAATGAAAAATCGAGAAATCGAAAAATCTAAAATTTTTAATATTGAAAAATTAAAATACTAAAAAATTGAGCGATCTAAAATTAAAAAATCGAAAAAGTAACAAGTCAACACATCGGAAAATCCAGAAATCAAAAATGGAAAAGTCGAAGAACAGAAATATTGAAAAATCCCAAAACTGAAATATCGAAAAATTAAAGAATTGAAGAACAGGAAAATCGAAACACTCGAAGGTCAAGAAATGGGAAAATCAAAACATCGATTAATTGAAAAATTCGAAAACTTGAAAAATTCAAATATCGGAGAACTGAACTGAAAAATGGAAAAATCTAAAATTTTAAAAATTAAATAATCTGAAATTTAAAATCGAAAAATTGAAAAATCTAAAAAGTAAAATAATCGACACATCGAAAAATCCAGGGGTCAAAAATCGACAAGTCCATGAATCGAAATATGTATTGAAAAATGAAAGATAAACTGAGAATCTAATAACCTGAAAAATCCGAAAACTGAAATATCCAAAAACTGAGAACCTAAAAAGTCGAAAAATTGAGCAATCGAAAAATCCAAAAAGTGAAGTCGAAAAATCGAAACCTTAAAAAAACTAAAAAATGAAAAATCGAAATATTAAAGAATTGAAGAACAGGAAGGAATATCGAAACCCTCGAAACTCCAGAAATGGGAAAATCAAAACATCGATTAATTGTAAAATCGAAAAATTGACAGTTTATAAATGCCAAATTTGAAAAATTGAAAAATCGAAAATTTGAAAAAACGACAATTGAAAAACAGAAAATCTAAAACAGGGAAGTCGAAAAATCGATAGATTAAGAAATCAAAACATTTGAAAAATTCGAAAACATGGAAAACGGAAATATCAAAGAACTGAAATGAAAAATCGAGAAATCGAAAAATCTAAAATTTTAAATATTGAAAAATTAAAATATCAAACAACTGAAAAATCCAAAATTTAAAAATCGAAAAATTGAAAAAACGACAATTGAAAAACAGAAAATCTAAAACCGGGAAGTCGAAAAATCGAAACATTTGAAAAATTGAAATATGGAAGAGCTGAAATGAAAAATCGAGAAATCGAAAAATCTAAAATTTTTAATATTGAAAAATTAAAATACTAAAAAATTGAGCGATCTAAAATTAAAAAATCGAAAAAGTAACAAGTCAACACATCGGAAAATCCAGAAATCAAAAATGGAAAAGTCGAAGAACAGAAATATTGAAAAATCCCAAAACTGAAATATCGAAAAATTAAAGAATTGAAGAACAGGAAAATCGAAATACTCGAAGGTCAAGAAATGGGAAAATCAAAACATCGATTAATTGAAAAATTCGGAAACTTGAAAAATTCAAATATCGGAGAACTGAACTGAAAAATGGAAAAATCTAAAATTTTAAAAATTAAATAATCTGAAATTTAAAATCGAAAAATTGAAAAATCTAAAAAGTAAAATAATCGACACATCGAAAAATCCAGGAGTCAAAAATCGACAAGTCCATGAATCGAAATATGTATTGAAAAATGAAAGATAAACTGAGAATCTAATTGGAAAAATTGAGAAACCGAAAATTTAACAAATCGAAAAATTGAAAAACAGAACATCTAAATCCAGGAAGTCGAAAAATCGAAAGATTAAGAAATATTGAAAAATTAAAATATCAAAAGATTGAAAACTCTAAAATTTAAAAATCCAAAAACCGAAAAATCCAGAAGTCAAAAATACAAGAGCCGAAGAATTGAAATATTGAAAAATCCTAAAACTGAAATTTTTAGAAACTGAAAAATCGAAAAATCAAAAAAGTGAAGTCGAAAAATAAAAACCTTAAAAAATCGAAAAACTGAAAAATCGAAAACCCGAAAAATCAAAAACTTAAAGAATTGAAGAACAGGAAAATCGAAACACCCGAAGGTCAAGAAATGGGAAAATCAAAACATCGATTAATTGAAAAATTCGAAAACTTGAAAAATTCAAATATCGGAGAACTGAACTGAAAAATGGAAAAATCTAAAATTTTAAAAATTAAATAATCTGAAATTTAAAATCGAAAAATTGAAAAATCTAAAAAGGAAAATAATCGACACATCGAAAAATCCAGGAGTCAAAAATCGACAAGTCCATGAATCGACATATGTATTGAAAAATGAAAGATAAAATGAGAATCTAATAACCTGAAAAATCCGAAAACTGAAATATCCAAAAACTGAGAACCTAAAAGTCGAAAAATTGAGCAATCGAAAAGTCCAAAAAGTGAAGTCGAAAAATCGAAACCTTAAAAAAACTAAAAAATGAAAAATCGAGATATTAAAGAATTGAAAAACAGGAAGGAATATCGAAACCCTCGAAACTCCAGAAATGGGAAAATCAAAACATCGATTAATTGTAAAATCGAAAAATTGACAGTTTATAAATGCCAAATTTGAAAAATTGAAAAATCGAAAATTTGAAAAAACGACAATTGAAAAACAGAAAATCTAAAACAGGGAAGTCGAAAAATCGATAGATTAAGAAATCAAAACATTTGAAAAATTCGAAAACATGGAAAATGGAAATATCGAAGAACTGAAATGAAAAATCGAGAAATCGAAAAATCTAAAATTTTAAATATTGAAAAATTAAAATACCAAAAAACTGAAAAATCTAAAATTTAAAAATCGAAAAATTGAAAAAACGACAATTGAAAAACAGAAAATCTAAAACCGGGAAGTCGAAAAATCGAAACATTTGAAAAATTGAAATATGGAAGAGCTGAAATGAAAAATCGAGAAATCGAAAAATCTAAAATTTTTAACATTGAAAAATTAAAATACTAAAAAATTGAGCGATCTAAAATTAAAAAATCGAAAAAG